CAGTGTGAGTATTGGCATCACAGAATAGAGCTTTCCTGACTCTGCTATTTATGATTCTGCCCCACACAGAGATCCCAGCCAGATATTCTCATTTAGCAAAGGGGCCAAAGTTAAGATAGATCTAATTGCATTACAGCGGAGGAAACCTATATCAACTCATATTATCAGGTACTTGCTAAGGGGCATACAGCCAGAAAGCAGCTGATCGGGGACTTCCAACCTTAGCTACATGCTGCCCTGCCACCCTCTTAGCTCATGCATCTCCTTCCCTGGGTAAAATGAGACAAATAAGCATCTACATTTGCATCCATGGCCACAAACTTATAAGAGAATCTGTCTGGATTTTCAATGAAGATTGATGGGAGCTAGAAGTACTGGGTTCTTAACCAGTTAGCAATGTGACTTTGGGCTCAGGCATATGGGGACAGGGTCCCTGCCATCTCACAGAGCTGACCTGACAGAAGTGATGGCTGTGACCAGCTCTGTAGTGCAAGTTTGGTTCAGCTACCCCAGAACAGTCTAGCCCACAAGGGCCTTTGCTACTTGTCACCTAGCTTTTCCTGCTCCTAAGGTCCTCAGGGACAGCCTGGCAGAGCTTCTTTTGGGGTTTGGGGACAGGTGTCTGGGGCAGAGTTTTGGTGTTTCTATTCTCTTACTGCACAGATGGACAGGCACTGGGGCTAGAGAACCTTCTGTTTGAATCTTGGCTCGCTGTTTGCCTGTGGCGTGACTCTGAGCAGGCCCTTTTAACTTTGTGAGACGCGATTTCCTCTTATGCCATGAACAGACCTTATAGGGTCATCATAAAGGTAGGAGGTGAGGTATGTAAAAAGCCCAACATTTGATAGGGAATGTGGTTAGCATGAATATATTGGCGAGGTGGAAAACCAGAGGAGAGAAGGAGCAATTAGGGGGATTGTTTTAGAAACTATACAAATGTCTAACCAATGTACTATATACTTGAAACTAATTAAAAAAATATTTTTTTCCTTAAAAAAAAAGGCCCAACATTTGTAAAACAAAAGGATTTTATGGTAATTTTTCAAACATACACAAAAGCAGAGAAAACGATATAATGAATGCACAGGTGCCCACCACCCAGCTTCAAGCTATTATCACCTGACCGTTCTTCTTCCATCTCTTCCCCACCCCCGCCCCCTTTTATTTTAAAGTCAGATTATTTTAAAGCAAATCCAACATATCATATAATTTCAGCCCCCAAAACATCAGAATTTCCCCCTACAGATGAAGCCTTAAAAGACATAATCACAATACCATGATAACACATATAATACAATTAACAATAATTTCTTAATATTACCTAAAACCCGTTCTGTGTTCAATATTGCCCAATTGTCATCGAAATGTATTTTTTTAACAGTTGGTTTGTTGGAATCAGGATCCAAACATGGTTCACATATTGCATCCAGTTGACATATTTCTCAGGTCTTTTTAAAATTGATGTTTTCCTACTCCCACCTTTTATCTCAGGCCATGTATTTATTGATAAAAATGGATCATTGGAATATAGATTTTCTATTCTATAGATCTGATTGATTGACTCCTTGGGTCATTTAGCATGTTCCTCTATCTCCTGCATTTATTTTATACTGATCAAGCTAGAGGCTTGATTAGATTAAGTTTAGATTTTTTTTTTTTTTTTTTGGAGGGCAGGGGAAGAGTAAAAATTCTTCATGGGTGCTGCTGATGTTTCCTACTGGGTCACATCTAGAGGCACACACTGCCCTGTCATTGCACTTTTGGTGATGCTAAGATCGATTCAGCTGTCAGCCTGATCCACCCTTTATGAAATTTGCCTGATCCATCCTTTATGAAGTTCGCCATCAAACCCACTATTTTAGAAGCTATTGATGATCATTGCCTAGATTTATTATTTCATTAGGGGTTGCCAAAAGATGTTTTCTTCTAATTTTATCATTCCTTCTGCATTTCTCAGCTAATTCTTCTGTCAAGATTTTCCCCTTATAAATTCTTTGGTTATGAGATAGTTTGTATAAGAAAGGCAGATACAAACTTTTCTCTTCATTATCAGTTTTCAGAATAATCTGGAGTAACCCCTAACCCCTAAAAGTGACCAATGAAGTTTTTTGGTTTTGTTTTTTATTTTTAGAATTTTAGGAACTTGTGGGTTTAACTTAAGAATCTTTATATATTTGATTACCTATGGTAATCATTATTCTTTTTAATGCTCAAGTTGTCCCATCTGTGCCAGCTGGAGCCCCTTTAAGTGGTCTTGAATAGCCTGTTTACTTTCTGGCATGACAAAATGTCTCAAGCAGGCTCGTCTTGCATATTTCATGCTCCAGACTTGAAGTGCCCAGCCATTTCTCCAGGAGAGAATCTGGCTCTTTTAAACGTGAAAAATCTCCCTGTGCCCAGGGGGCCCACTTTCTGTAG